AAAGAATATTAAATTCTATAGAGATTTGTCTGAGTAGTCAGGCTCGAAGCTCAATGCGTTGCCACTAGCAACATTTTCATTTTTCTCTTCATTTTTGTCTTAACTTTTAATTTCCACATATGCTATAAAAAAAATTTAATCGATTAATTAATTAATTATTTATTTATATAATCAATAAAAATATATTTAGATTAACAAGGAGCGAACCGTTTAATTCATCTTTTAACTTTGGCAAAAAAAATCAGAGCAAAAGGATACGATGCGGTAATGTGACTGATAAATTGAGTAGTGGATCTTACTACGACCAATTTCGGTTCTTCCTCTATCGAGTCGCCATATAACTTAAAAAAAGAATAATAAATTCGTTACTTAGTCACGTATTTGCATGTGTACTAATTAAGGATTCTTTGTCAAAGGTAAAGAAAGCGTCATTAAAAGATATTGCTCATAAAAAAAATTACCACGTTATTAATGTTAATGAGTTAAGACGTCAGGTTGTGAAAAAAAAAATAAATTTTTTTTTCGTTATAGATGACATTAGTAACATCAACACGTGAGTGATAATTTACAACAAATATAATTTGATTGGCTTCATAAAGTAATCTTTCCCCGAAAACGAAAGCAAAAAAGAAAGTCAAAATGAGGTAAAGAAAATGCTCATATATCAATAAGTTTTAACGTGTATACGAGATTTTATCTTTTTGAAGAAAGTATACTAACCTTTGGAATCATATATACGTTGAGAATCTCGCCTTTTGAACCATGCTTTCCGAGTTTATTATACAAAGATCGCAAGAAACATTAGCTAAAATTAGTTGATATTTCTTAAATTTCTTTTATAAAATTAGTACTCAAGCAAAATCAAAAGCGGAAATGACTGAAGAAGAACTTCGTCAACTTGAAGAGCATGAATTTAATACTGGTCCTTTATCAGTATTACAACAATCGGTAAAGAATAATACCCAAATATTGATAAATTGTAGAAATAATCGAAAGTTACTAGCTCGTGTTAAAGCTTTTGATAGGCATTGTAATATGGTTCTAGAAAACGTTAAAGAGGTAATTTATATATATATATTTAGAGCTAAATTAAATATTGAATTATTTTAATATCTAAACTTGTATTGTTTTTATTAGATGTGGACGGAAACACCAAAAGCCGGTAAAGGCAAAAAATCCAAACCAGTTAATAAGGATAGGTTTATTAGCAAGATGTTTTTACGTGGGGACTCTGTCATTCTCGGTAGGTCTATGATAGCAGGTTTTTTTTTTGATCTTTATAATAAAAATTATTAACTTAAATATATATTTACAACAGTGCTAAGGAATACTGTTTAAAAGTAAATAAATTCGATTACGAAAACGAATATATATTGGATGCGAAAACTCAAGACTAATTTAGTTATTTCGGCGCATTTATATTAGTAAAGACGTTTTTTAGTCTAAATATACATTATCATCGAAAACAAAATAAAATAAAAA